AAACCAAACCAAAACTGCCTGCATTGTTTTGGATTGAAGACCTTTGTCACTGTCACAGAATCCCCGTATTCACAAAATGAGGTCCTCGGGGTCATCTTGGAGATTGCTCTGTGTTGCTGGAAATTCAGTTGCACTGCTTCCCTAAAAGAGTGTGTGAGCCTTATGCAAGATGCAAAAGGGATAAAAGAGGGTGAGGTCACCCCTAGCCCTAGCCCCCGGTAAAGCCTGTCACCTGGAGCCGTGCTTCCACCAGACAGATACAGTCATGGGCACTGGCAATGCGTAACTCAGCCCATCCAAAACTTATTAAAAACTGCCCAACAAATATAGCTATCTTAGGCTGGGGGTGTGGTCAAGTCAGTTGAGTGCTTGCTTAGCATGCACAAATCCTTGGGTTCATATCCTTAGTACTACATAAAATAAGTGTGGTTTTGGTTCCTCCTAGTGGTCGAGAATGAAGGCAGGAAGATTAGAAGTTCAGAACTATCCTTGGCTACTTAGCAAGTTTGAGGTCAACCTGGATACACGAAACCCTGTCTTAAAAAAAATAAAAACAACCAGGCATGGTGGCATATGTCTTTAATCCGAGCACTCGAGAAGCAGAGGCAGGCAGATTTCTGTGAGTTCAAGACTAACCTGATCTACACAAAGAGTTTTAAGTCAGCCTGAGCTACATCATGAAACCCTGTCTCAAAACAGCCAAAAAGACCAAAAGCCCTCTTTCCACATGGTCCACATATTTTCACAACCAAGTTCCCCAGAAGGGGCTCTCCCCTGGAGCACTTTGCCTCACAGGTATGTGACCTGTCCCTGTGTCCTACTCTTGTGAATACATCCCAAGGCGTGTCCAACAGAATGCCCCTCAGGTCTGGGCCCCTGGCTGATAGATAGGAGTGGGGTGGGTGGTTCCCTGTAGCCACTTCTCTCAGGCAGCAACATGATAGATGCCCACATGCTGATGATTTCCAGCTCCTTGGCCCTAATGTGTGTCAAGTAGAAAGGTGGAGTCAAGACTGCAATAGTAAACTGTCTGGAGGGGAAGACCAGCAGACAATGCCCAGAGTTAAGTGCATTTACGTGGAGAACAGGGAGCAGGATAGATGCCATGGAGAGCGTGTTGCGGGGAGTCTGGATATTTATCGAAAGCTGCTCAGAGAAGTGCAGCTCTTTTCATTACCTAGACGTCGTTAACTCAAGTACCACTAAGAAAGGAAACCTTGCTAGTGAAATGGGATATGATGCCTTCCACTTAGAGTGTTCACTGCTTCTGATTTAACACACTTCTAGACTGAGATTTAAAAAAAAACTCTAATGCACACAATTAAAGGAGCACAGAAGCACAGTAAACAGGCTAAGGTCTGACTAACCCCATTGCTCACTGAATCACCACAGCTTAGCCATCCATGGATGCCTGTGCTAGTAGCCCTTTCTCTGGTTCTTGCAAAGGACGAGTGATACAGGGCCGTTATTTCTGGAACCTTCATCTCGCAGTGAATACCTACTGTGCCCGTGCTATTGATCCTTGATGGTTCCAGAAAAGATCAATGGAATCTTAGATATTCCCTTCTCCTAGCTGAACACTCAGAATCTTCCATTGTCTCCAGTCTCGCCACAGGTGATAACCAAGTACACTTGTGTGTAGGTGAGACGGTGATATCAGACGCAATATTACGAAACCCACTGCAGCTCTCAGAGGTGGAAGACTGTATTTATGACCTGACAAAAACCATTTATGAAAAAACTAGGAGAGGATGGAAGTTGTCATTATTACAGCATGGCTCTGGGCAATGCGCTGTGACTCTCTTTTCACCAGTTCCAGGATCTGAACCATCCTTGAAGGCAGAGAGAAGGAAGCAGGGTAGGATTTTCTCCTTCTGCATATCAGGAAGAGAAAATGTCTCCCCAGCCGCAAACCCCTCAGCAAATCTCTCCTCATACCCTATTGGACAAGACGGTGGTATAATGCCAGCCATAGCTGCAAGGGAGGCAGGAAAAATTAAGTTTTGGTTTTTTTTTTTTGTAATCATTTGAAGAATGAGGACTGGGAAATGGCTCAGTCAGAGTAAAGCACTTGCTATGCAAGGATGAGCATCTGAGTCCCCAGGACCAGTAGAAACGTCAGGTGTGGTAGCACATGCTTGTGACTCCTGTATTGGGGCTGTTTGATGCAGACAAAGGGTTCCCAGGGTAGCCGAGCCTAATTTGGTGAACTCCAGGTCAAGGAGAGATCCTGACTCAAAGGAAGTAGACAGTGTTCCTGAGGATGTCCTCTGATCTCCACATACACAAATACACACATGCCCCAAAATACCTGTGTGCAATACATATACACACATATTCAAAAGAAAAAGATGCATATGGTGGTACATCCCTTTAATACCAGCACTTGGGAAGCAGACACAAATAGACCTTTGTGAGTTCAGGCCAGGCTGGTTTACATAGTAAGTTCCAGGCCAGCCAGGGTTACATAGTCAGACGCTATCTCAAAAAAGAGGAAAAAAAGGTCTCAGTATGTAGCTCTGGGTGTCCTGAAACTCACTCTGTAGACCAGCCTGGCCTCCAGCTCACAGAGATCCATCTGCCTCTGCCTCCCAAGTGCCGGGATTAAAGGTGTACGCCACTATGCCCTGCTTATGTTATGCTTCTTCAAACATAGAAGATCCAGAATTATTTTCCCAAAGTAGGGAAACAAGTGTGGCAGATAGAAGCTCTTCCAGAAGACGACAGCTCCCAAACAAAAGATGGGGGTTCTCCTGAGCACAGCTAAAGAAGGCCTCATGGACGGTAAACGCGAATGAGGTTGAGCAGAGATTCGAGTGAGAGGCATGTTGTTTTCAGACATCTCCAGCTGTTCTGATTTATTTTTCAGGATTCCTTTTCCCATGCTTCTGTGGTTCCCTTTGGCACTGGGCTTGGTCCTGAGCCATCCTTATGTCCTCTTTCCTAACTCTCAACCTTCCTGATGCTGGTCATATTGGAGCTGCGCTGACTCAGCTTCTCTGAGTGAAACTGAGCCCTTTGGCAAATGGGCACGTAATGTGTAGACTGCTGCTTCCCTCATGTCTGTGGCAGAGCATTTACAAGATCCAAAAGATGTTGATGGAGTTAGTCCCTGACCAGTTATTTGGGCTTGGGGTATTGAAACCTGGCCTGGTCCTTTTGGCCATAAGTTGTCTTTTCTTTCACTGATATCAATAGCAACTTAGGTGTGGCCAACAGCAGGCAGCAGCAACAACCATCATCTTCAGTAGCATAAAAATAAGATAGAGCTGGGTGGTGGTGGCACACGCCTCTAATCCCAGCACTCGGGAGGCAGAGGCAGGTGGATCTCTGTGAGTACAAGGCCAGCAACACAGGCAACCTATCAGGGGCCTCGTTCCTGTAGAAAACTGCCTGGAAAGATGGCTCCGTGGTTAAGAGTATTTGCTGCTCTTCCGGAGGACTCAAGTTTGGTTCCCAGTGTCCGTGTCCAGCAGCTCACAATTGCCTGTAACTCCAGCTCCAGGGGATCTGATACCTTCTTCTCGCTTGGCCAGTGCATGCTTGCTCACACACACACACGCATGCTCACACACACACACATGCATACGCATGCTCTCTCTCTCTCTCTCTCTCTCTCTCACACACACACACACACACACACGCATGCTCACACAAACACACTCACGCACGCATCCTCACACACACACACTCACGTGTACACACACACACACACACACACACACACACAGAGATAACTTTAAGTGAATAATCTTCAAAAAGGTAGCACTCCCTGAGTCTTACCTGCAGCCATCAGTTGCCAGTAACTCCTCAGCAAGGCAGGACTTCCGTGAATTTGATCAAAGCACATCACATGCATCATGAAAGCCTCAAATAATAAGTGGAAAAATAAAACTATAAAAAATAAAATAAATTTAAACAACAACAACGGAATGTCACTAGCCTCTCCCCTGCCCTGAGGCACACCTGCACACCCAGAGGTACACCCAAGCCTGTCTTTGCCTTGGTCCTTTCTCTTCACACAGACCCGCCACTTGGGACCAGGTGGGGGGGGAGGGTGTTTGTTTTTTCATCCACACAACACGTTTACCTTGCTTTCCTAAACAAAAGAATACATTCACACTGAGTTTCACTCCACAACTCCTTCACTATTTGAAGTGGTTAGTTCGGCAGTAGAGTTTTTTTTTTTTTTTAATATTTGTTCCTTCCTGATTCCTACCTTTTGGGTATTTTATGAAACCCAATATGCCCAATCTGAGTAAATGTACCTTGTAAACCGTCTCAGCTTCACAGATTTAAAAAAAAAAAAGGCTGTTGTCATACATTGAAACAACACTGTCTACATTTTATAGCCTTTGGGAAGAAGTTGAGTTAAGCGCATAGATTATTAGGTTTTGAGTTTGTATCCAGATTCTGAGAACTGAGGATAACATGGCCATATATAGACTTTTACTGGTGGGAAGCCAGCAGCCTCCAGCCGTCTCTAGAGAGTAGGGATTGTAGTGGGGATGTCCCTGAGGTGCATAAAACCCTGAGTTTGAGCCTATCACTACATAAACTGGGCGTGGTGCCCCATGCCTGTAATCCTAGCATTTGGGAGGTGAAGGCAAGAGGATCAGGAGTTCAAGATCATCCTGGCAGGTATGTGCCTACATTGCCAAGCAGCAAGTTCAAGGTTAGCCCTGGACATGTGAGAACCCTATCTCAAACAAAAGTGAGGGAGCTGGAGAGGACAGTGATCCTAGCTACAGATTTCCCTGGGTCTGAAAGGGACGAGAACATCTCTAAAAGAAAGGGGGAGCCCCAGAGGTGTCCCTGGAACATACCTGCACAAGTGTACCCGGGAACCTGAGGAGAGGCAACCCAGGGGCTTTTCTTCTGCCTTGTCCACTCACAGAGCAAAGGTCTCTTGGCCGTTGTCACATCTCCTGCCTGTTCCCATTAGTGCCCATAAGCCCATGGTCAGGCCTCTAACAAGTGCTCTCCTGTATTGTGTCCAGGGACAGGGTGCCTTGTCGGAGAGACTGCGAAGCTTCAGCATGCAGGACCTCACCACTATCAGGGGTGATGGTGCCCCTGCTCCCTCAGGCCCCCCTCCTCCAGGGACTGGGCGGTCCAGCGGCAAACATGGTCAGCCCAAGATGTCCAGGAGTGCTTCTGAGAGTGCTGGCAGCTCAGGTAGGTCTGTCCCCTCCCTTTCTCACTCCTGGGCCTCATTGTCATTAAGAGGCACAGTACTGGATCACACACAAGGTATCCCTTGTCCCGTGGACCTGTCCAAACAGGTATTTGTTAGACTATACCAGGCCAGATGAAGAGCATAGCCTCTCAAGAAGCTGGCATGGGGACTGCCTTTGGCAGGAGAGGTTTCTCACACCAGAGGGTTATTTCTCCTTCATCATTGTCTGTGGAATCGGAGTGTTGGGTGCTAGTACCTGGGTCAAGTCTGGAGCAGGAGGCGTAGTCTGGACCTTGAGAGCACTTTCTATTCTCTCTGGCCCCATACTCAGGTCTTGTGACCCCTTGAGCATCTTCTCCCACTTCTCAGGGCTGGTGACACCCCTAGGCATTTCCTCATTTTCCCATCTCCACTTCATCTCTGACTATTTACACACTATGCATGCCCACAGCCTGCACCTACCATGGACCACTCTAGACCTGAGGTCCAGTTCGTGGAGAGGTCAAGACCTTCTAGTATCCGAAAATCTACCTCTGCTGTTTAACTCTTGTGGATAAGTGCTTAGCATGAGACCGCCCATATAGGTCTTCACCAGGAGCCTTGCTTAATATGTGGAGTCTTGGGCCTGTCTCCAAAGGTCTCAGTGAGACCCAGATGTGTAAACTGAGGTGTGAATCCAGTACCTAATCTATCCCTGAGGACTTGTTGCTTCTGGAGGTTGGTGCTATGGACTGGGAGCCATCAGTTTCCCAGATGGATCCTTAGGACATGACAGTGACTTGGGGAGCAGACCGGTTGCTAACAGAAAATGGCGAACGGCAGGAAGCATAGAGGACGATGATCGGTTGGTTACCACCTCCCCCTGAGGGCAGAAGAATATGGTCTTCCATAGCCAATGTCTGTCCTGCCCTTAAACGTGCAAACCAGGGCCTCCAAGGCACCTTGAACCCTTAACCTTTTGCTGTTAGAGGCATCATGAAAGGCACCTGGGCTCTGAGCCCCAGATCCTGACAGACCCACCTGATTCTGAGGGTCGGCACATGGTGTAGACGTGATAACACACTCGGGCCCGAACTCTCAGTACCATCAACATTCCCTGGTAGGATCCTGCAGCTTCCTCCCGTCTCAGGACCATGCCCCAGCTTTGGAGATCACAGCTTCTTTCCTTCCTTCCTTCCTCCCTCCCTCCCTCCCTCCCCCCCTCCCTCCCTCTCTCTCTTTCGTTCTGTTTTGTTTTGTTTTGTTTTGTTTGTTTTTTGAGACAGGGTTCCTCTGTGTAGCTTTGGTGCCTGTCCTGGAACTAACTAGCTCTTGTAGACCAGGCTGACCTCGAACTCAGAGATCCACCTACCTCTGCCTCCAGAGTGCTGGGATAAAGGCGTGTGCTACCACCGCCCAGCAAGATCACAGCTTTTTGATGGGAGGTGTTTTCATTCTAGAAGCAGGGCAGAACTGGGGAGGAGGAGGTTTGGCTGTGAGGATTCAATTGGAATAGGCCAGGTAAGAGTACCCAAGACTGCCTGGTGCCAGCAGATAGTAAGTAGATAGTAAGTAGCTGTTGTTATAAATATTACTATTTCATTTCATCCAAGAACGTTCTTTACAATACTGAAAGTGTTCAGGAGACGAATGGGCGTCTCTGTGAGGCGGCCAGTGTTGGAATGGCCCATAGCAAAGTTGAAAGGTCAGGTAGAGCATCCTGCCTTGGCTGGGAAGTGGGCCCAGATAGCCCTGTATCCCTCTCCCTCTACGGGTCTATTTTGTCAAAGAAGAACCAAGAAGAAGCAGCAGCTCAGAGAGGTCACACACTCTGCCAGAGCCACACAGAACCAGACCCTAGACCTCCTCCACAGACCACCTCTTGATAGATTGTTCAGGTCAGGGCTCAGACGGAAATGAGAGGAGGCAGGCTGGGTCTCAGAGATGATGGGGCGTCTCCAAGGCCTGAAACAGCTCCCCCAGCAATAGGTAGAAGGAAGTCCGGGATGGTTTGTTTTGGTGTTGACAGGAGTGGTGTGATCCCTTGCCGTTCTGAGACCTCCCTTCCAAGCATAGAGGTGTGGAGGTGCTGGGGAGATCAGGGAGTATGGCCTCTCCCAGTCACCTCAGGAAGAGAGACAGATATGATGCGGATCAATTCCTGGGTATGGAGTAGAAGCGTCCATGTTGGAGCTGGGGCTGTCGTCCATAAGGTGAGAGACAGGGTCCCTGGGAAGAAGTCTGGCAGAAGAAGCAATGGAAGGGAAAATGGGTTTGTTTTGGTCCACAGTATGAGGGCACAGGCCATCATGGGCCGTCATGGCCAGAAAGGCATGGTAACCTTGTGGAATACAAGGCTATGGTCAGAGGTCAGAAGTCAAGAAACAGAGAGTACTGGAAGTTAAGGCCTGCCCCTTGTGACTTCCTTCTTCCTGCAAGGTCCTCCTCCTTCCAAAACACCATCACCAGCTGGGCACCAAGTGCGCAAACACAGGGCTTCATCCTGGCTAGGTGACACTGAGCCTGTAGGATGTGGAAAATGCCACACCGGGAAGCTGATGCAGTGAGGCAGTCAGCACACTTGTTCCTGCTGGTTCCTGTGAGCCAGCTTCCTGCCCCAGTTCCCTGTGCTGCCAGCCTTAGGGCTTTTCTCACAGGGAGGATCTGACCTTGGCAGGGAGCAGACCCCAATCCCTTCAGCTTTCTCTTGAGGAAAAGGCCCCATCGCCTCTTACCATTGTGAGGAGAGATAGGGAAAAAAAAAAAAAAGATCATTTTCAGACTCCAAACAGATGGCAGGAGCTGAAGACAGTTTAGGAGAAGGAACAGGGAACAGCATGGCTGCAGGCTGTGTCTGCAGCACCTGAAGCCCCAGATTCAGTGGGCATTGGTGGGTCTTGAAAGCAGGATACCCCATGGAAACGCACAGCCCACAGTGGGTTCTTACATAATTGTTTTTATAGTAATGTACAACCAGATGTGATGACATATGCCTTAACCCTAGCATTCAGGGGGCAGAGGCAGGAAAATCTCTGTGAGTTCAAGACCAGTTTCATTTACATAGTAAGTTCCAGGTCAGGGCTACATGGTGAGACCTGTCTAAAAAAAAATAGATAGGCAGGACAGCGGTGATGCCAGCCTTTAACCCCAGTACTCGGGAGGCAGAGGCAGGTGGATCTCTGTGAATTGGGGGCCAGCTTGGTCTACAGAGCAAGTTCCAGAACAGCAGGACTACACATAGAATCCTTGTCTCAAAAAAAAAAAAAAAGAGTAGGTAGGTAGGTACATAGGTAGTAGGTAGGTAGATACATAGGTAGGTAGGTAGGTAGGTAGGTAGGTAGATGATAGCAGGGGCTGGAAAGATGCTATATTTCTATAAGCATAAGAACTTGAGTTCGGGTCCCCAGAGTCCACAGAAAAGCCCCATGCAGTAGCACAAGCCTATAGTGCCAGCACTGGGAAGATTGTAACAGGAGGACCCTGAGACTTGCCCAGTGAACTCATCCTGGTCAAATGGTAAAGCGGAGAGCAAGAGAAGAAGCCACTGTCGCCTTTACACTCACAAGCAGGAGCAGGCTCACCCTCACATGCATGTGCACACAGATATGTACACACAACAATATACATAGACTACAGAATAATACAGTTTTCAAGAACACAGTTAAACAAAAAGATGCAGTAGATGCTGAGATTCATGCTTCTTGAGGAAGGAGATTGGGTGAGGTACGGGGTGGACGCAATGGAGTGTATCCAGGACACAGCGTGGTCAGCTTGAGACCTGGGGACAAGATCATTTGTTCTCTGCATCTCGAGGACAGAAATAAGACACAGAAACTGTAGAGGTGTGATTATTCTGCCTGCAAGCGTCTAGCAGACAGACCCTGGTTCTGCCTCCCTCTCCAGCCGACCTCCACTTGCCTGCCACAGGCCTCGTACACAGCGCCCTGCGTGCGGCATGAGGAGAACACAGGACCTGAGTTTGGTAGATGGAGAAGCATAGCTTTCTGCTACCTCTCTCAGCAACCGGGGTGAGGCCGGGCCACACACCAGAGCTGACTCACCTGCTTGGAGTTTGCCCTCTGGTTTGAAAGGCTGGGGCAGGCAGCACTGATTGCCCTCCCTGCGGAGTGAATGAGAGGGAGGGACCACGCACTGGAATGACTGGCATTACCACCAGGAAGGGTACACCAGGAGTTGAGCGGATGAAGGGAGCCTTCCATAGATTCTGAGTCACTGGCTCAGCATGGACTTAGTGAGCACGTACTATCTGCCAAGATCCACATGGTCTGGAGACCAATGAGTGCGGCGTCCAAACCAGTCGCCCATTAGACCTTCTGCCACGTGCTCAGACACTAGTTCACTGGGGTTCAGAGACCAGTCTGAGGAGCTTTCCTGAAGGATTCTCTGAATCAAAAGTCTAGAAGGAGAGGTTTTGAGGAAGGGACACTTATTCCCAGGGGAAACTTTCTCAGTTCCCACCCCCTCAGAGTTCTAGGAGCAGGGCCTGACCTTAGAGGAAGCTGAATCCGAGGTGATCCCTTCCCACACCGCAGTGTCTGTAGGCACCCCCTTCTTCCTGGGGGGACTTCCCTGTTTGCGGGGGGGAGGGGCAGTTCCTGTTGGGCGGGGCCGTCTCTGACAGCGCCCTCACCCGATTCCCACAGTGTGTACCTGCTGCTCCTCCTGCAGGACCCGGAAAGGTGAGTAGCAGCCAGCCTGCCTGCAGCCTGCTGGATTCAGCTTGCTTCAGGGGGGCACTAACCAGGTGCTGGCCCCTGACCTGAGGGCTCCCTTTCAGCTGCACTGGCCAGATGGGGGACAAAACCCTTAAGGCAAGCAAACACACTGTCTTTCATTTCCATGGCCAAACCTCCCAGGAAGCTTCCGGCAGGACTCTGGCTGGGCTCAGTCACCTGAAGACTTGACTGAGCCTGGCAGATCCAGTGTCAGATGGTTCCTGGGGCCACTGCCTAAAGTTCCTTACCGCCTGGGTCCCTCTCAGGCTGCTGCTGGAGAGTCCAAACATGTGGCAAGTGAATGGCTCCAGACAGAGAGGAAAGGCAGGAAGCCGTTGTAACCTTTCATGACCTGGCCTTTGAAGTCAAGCTAGCACTTACTCTTGAGTTGTTCTCTTTGATGGCCGCCATGAGTCACCAAGCCAAACCTGTGTTCCACGAGAGAATTATACAGCCTCTTGGAAGGAATGTCAGAGACGCGTGTGACTCTTTAAGCCAATGTGTAGTCCCGCACATCCCTGTGCAGTGCATCCTGGGAACGCAGAGACTGCCCAAGCTCCACGGAAGGGAGGAAGCCCTGCTCAGGGAGCTCTGGCTTGCCACTTCCCAGCTGTGCCGCTTTGTGTGAGTCAGCTAACTGCCCTGAGCCTGTTTCTTCATCAGACAACAGAGCTGGGGCCCGTGCCTTCCTCCGTGCACCATAAAGGAAATGGCTGTTAAAAGGCTTTTGAAGGGGACTACTAATTGTATTTATTTGTGTTTGGAGTGTATGTGGACCTGTGATGTGTGTACTATGGCCTGTGTGCGGAGGTCAGAGAAAGACTTGGGGGAGTCGGTTCTCTCTTCACACAGTGTGAGTTTGGAGGATCAAATTCAGACCATCGGGCTGGGCAGCAGGCACCTTTTTTTGCTGAGCCTTCTCTCTGGCCTGTGACTATTTTCACAGGCTGGACTAGCCAGATGCGCTCAGGATTCTGGGACTCCCACTTCTAGACAGACACTCTTGCTGTTGCCATGCTGCCATTACTGGAGCGTGAGTGACAGCTGGCGGAGCTGTGGCTCTCTGGGGCCAGCTATATGCTCTCTTAGAAGATGTTGCCTGAGCTTAACCACATGCATTAGGGACTAGGGAAGGTCCTGGGTAACGAAAGCCAGAAGTCCCAGACGAGTGACAGACAGGAACTCTGAGCAGGGACACAGTGGGAGAGAAGCATTCAACCAGTCTTTACCAGCGGGTGTCCAACTGGGACCTCCCAGTCCATCTGGGAAGCTGGGGCCTTCCATTGTTAGACACTGGCACATAGGTCTGGTAGACTTCCTAGTTCATAGGAAATGGCACTTCAGTGTCCCCAAGAAGGTCATGGTCATTTCTGTCTCCCAGTCTGCATGTTAAATTGTAAATTCCAGGATAGTACTGCCTGGGACAAGGTCGGTTAATATTCCATCCTTTCTGACCCATTCTTCCTCCTGGCTCTAGGATGCCTTCACCTATGGGACACGGATGGCTTTATAGTCGAAGTCTCTTACCAGACAATTAAACCAGCTGCTGGTGGGGACTGGTGGATTCTGTAGGCCACTGCGACAGGTGTCTCTGAGTGGATGGGGACTCAGGAAAGTGGAACAGCCAGTAGCAATTCCTGGAAGCATCCAGCTGGGTTGGCTCTGCTTGGAGTCTCCCCAGCCCTGTCTTTTGCAGGCCCTGATCTCCTAGGGTCCTGCTAACACCCAGTGTTCTAGAACTTTCTCCCTGACCCCTAGAGCTCTATGTAAGGATCCATCCCTGATTCCTCTACAGTGTGTCCCTCTATGTCCTTAGAGACAACTCTCCACTCTCTGGGCCTCCTAAAGACTTCTGTGGTCCCTCCAGCTCTCTGTGAGAGAAGGGCACTCCACTGGGAAGTACTGGGATGTTTGTCTGACACCTGGAGCTGGAAGCTTCAACGCTTTTTGAAAGGACTCCTGTGGGTCTTGGGTGCTTTCCTCCTGATCCCCAAAAATTGTGTCACATGGGTGGTGTTCACTCCAGAGAGTGGGAAGATTCTAGGCATCCTTAGAGACTTAGGACCTTAGGATCCCTGAGCAGAACTGAACTTTCTAAATGATTTGCAAATCCAGCTCTCAATTCAGGACAGTGGAGAAAGGTGGGCATTTGGGAGGCTGATAGTTACTTTAGAGGGCAGTGACAGCCATGGCATTAGTGCTCCCAGGTCCAGCAAGCAGCAGATGTTAGACAGAGCCTCTTCTAACCTGTGCCTCCCAGACACCACAGCATTCTCTCCCTACCTCTGCTTCATTCTGCCTGTCGGTTTCCTGATGGCTCCTGCATATTCCAGTCTCTTTGTAGATGCATCTGTTATTGCCCCATCCACCACCTTCCCTCCCGTCCTTCTCCTTCCCCGAGCTGCCTGTCATTAATCAGTATCGGGCCCTTTCTAAAACCGAGTTTGTGGGGCATAAATTTAAGTACATGTGAGTTTTATTCGAAAGCTCCTTCTCTAACAGAATGTTCTTTCCTCTCTCCTCGGTGACTGCTGGGGACCTGGATGTAAGTGTTCAGACAGGCATGTCCTTTCAACGCCTTTGCTGCCTTGCCTCACTAATGTGTGTCGCGTGGGATGTATGCTAACCCGGGTGTCGTGCAGCGCTGTGGGTGGGTGACTCAGGGCTTGGGCCTGGCAGTTCTGTTCAGGTCTTTAAAGGGCTTAGACTTCTCAGCCCCTCTTTTGCACCATCCAGTGTTGAGCCTGACCCTAACATATGTGTGTGTAGAAGACAACAGGGACCCCATGTCCTTAAGTAGAAACCACCAACCTTGACCCAACCGTGACAAACCAGTGGGCTACAGGCCTGGGCTGCCATTGCTGCCATTGGGAGGAGTGTGGCATGAGAGAACCTGTACCCAAACAAGTTCTCGGGGTCTTGGGGTGTGGTCCACTGCTAAGGCTGAGGACATTAATTAGATCACAAGTCTATGCAAATCTATAGGCCCACTCCTGAGTTTCCTGCCCAGTCAGTTGTCCTGCTCCCTCTAACTGGCGGCACCCTTCAATGTGGCCAATTTCACTGTGGCTTATTTCTTATTTATTCTGCTGCTTGTTCCAAAAAGGAAATGAATGTGAAGGAAATATATGTGAAATGGTTAATCAAAGTAAGCGGGGGGAAGAAAGTTGAGGGACGTGAGAAGGAAGAATTAGAATTAAGAGAAAATTCTAATGCCGGCCACCTGGTCATGGAGCATCAAAGACTGGGTCCCCTGGACAGATCACTGGAGAGGGAAATACGGTTAGCCAGTGTCCCCAGTGCACTGGAGCTCAGAGGCGAGGCTTGTCCATGGTTACTTTCTGTCCTGAGAGAGAGATAATATACAAAGGGGCCAGGGACTCAGCTTAGCGGTAGGCCCCTGCCTGGCATGTGCAAAGCCATGGATTTGATTTCCCACACTCACCAACAACACACGTGACAGACTTACAGGGACCATCACAGCAGTTGGGGCTGGTTTTAGGCGGGTTCTGTGTTGCTTCCATCTGAAGCTATTTCTGTGCCCCAGCCACCCACACTGGCCTCCTTTGTCCCCAGCCTCTGCCAGATCAGGTCTGGCTTCTGCTCCTGCCTGTGTATCTGGAATGACCTCCACTCCTAGGAGTCACGGGATTACTTCTTTGCAAAATATAGTCCTTGTTCAAGGCTGTGGTGGAGAGCATGCGCGAAGCCTTGTTAACAGTTTCAGTACTGAGATGGGCATTGGTTTTTGTTTGTTTGTTTGTTTTATTTTGCTTTTGTGCCTGAGACAGCGTCCCCACACTGTAACCAGACTGGCCTGGAACTCACTGCGTGGCCCAGGTTGACCCACGGCAATTACCGGCGTGCATGCCCAGCTTATGAGCAGCTCGTTAGTATTGCAGTTAATGTGGGGTTGGGATGCTCAGCCTCGGTGCCTTCTAGTGGGTGGAATGAGTAATTAGATACCCAAGGATCTTGCTGTGTCTCTGGATTATCTTCTGATGCCTGTGATGATTAGTATAGGGAAAGTCCTGGAAACAAGGTTTAAAGGGTGCAGCACACAGCTGATCAGAGGCCCAACTTCAGCCAGTGCCCAACCCCATCCTCAGGATGCAGTTTTTTGCTGGGTGGGGCTCTCCAGGATGCTTCTGCCTTTTTACCTTGGCCTGAGAGCTTTGAGTCCTGGGTAGGCCTGGACCTTATTCTTCCTCCCGGGCAGGAGGAATCTGTAGCTGGAGGAATGTCCTGGTTATCAAGTGTCATGCTCCGGTGCAGACCAGAGCCGAGTTCTCTGAGATGCCAACAGGCTTCCGTTTAGGTTTCTGGAGTGGTTGTACCGGCTAAATGCTAATCCTTCCTCAGATACTCAGAGGACATGAGGGAGGAGCAGCCACAACCCTACAACCTAAGGAAGTTTTCCGCTGAGCTGAGACAGGGTAGCAGGCAAGAGCCAGGGCATGTGGCAGGGGCCACAGGGTACAGACTCTAAGCATTACTGGGGGCCTGGAGCAGCGAAGCTCTGGAGGCCAGGGTGTTCAAGGAATTGTCACGGAGTTAAGTCCTCGAGTTCAACAAGCTGATTTAGGCAGGGGAAGGACAAGAAAACAACTGAACTTGAAGTCAGCCGACTAAGAGAAGCACAAAGTGATGTCAGGCCCTAAGAAGGCACAGCTGCTCCCTCCACTCCCGGCTCCGTTCTGCAAGGCCTGCTAAAGGCAGCCGTGTTCTTGTGCTGCCCTCTGCTGGCTACTATGGAGTACAGCAACAGAAACTGGACAAGTTCTTAGTTGTGGGCTTTTAGTTTTGTTCATACTGGCTGCTGTTGCAGGGCAACCAGCCCGCTGCTGGCAGATGGAGCCAGTTCTGAGCTGAATGTGATTTTAGGATCAGTAGCAGGGTACCCCAGAAAGCTCGGGTTTCTGCCTGCAGACCTCAGAGTGGTGGAGCTAGAGGAGCTGTGGGCCCTCTAGCTCTACCTCCTGTGGTCCTGGGTGGCAACAGCACACACAAAGAATAGAAAGACATGTCTGTAGATGCCAGATAAACTGGGTATACGCAGAGAATAATTTACATACTAACTAAGCCAGGGCATCCTGGCTCGGTAACACGACTGCATTCAATGAGCCAAGTTAATTCTGGAGCTTTGCCTATAGTTCATTCAAGTTAGCCTGAAGTAGGAATCTAGCTGTCAGGTGGGGGTGGGGTGGCAGATACATTCAGATTTTGCATTGAAATGAGGGCCCTCTGCTATCTAGCACTGGATCCTTTGAAATGAAAATTCTGCAGAGCTCAATTTAAGGCCATCCCTTGAGGTCTCTCGGCATGTTACATCCCGTCTCCCACAGAACGCCTAGTCCTGCGTGCACTGGGGTACCGACTGCACTGTCAACATCGGCCTGTGCATACAATTTAGAAAGCCGGGAGCCACTCCTCAGGAGCACAGCTCTTGTTTTTGGAGAAGAGGTTTCGCTGAGCGCTCTTCCGGTGCCAGCTCATGAATCTAAGCGTCAGGGCTTGACAAGTCTCAGCGTCTTCCCCCATCCTCCTGGTGGCTGTTCGGTGGTTTCTGAGCCTACAGTTGATTATCTGCAAGCTGCCAAGTCTTCCAGTTACCTTCTCACACACACACACACACACACACACACACACACTCACACGCACACTTGCACACACTTGCACACACTCGCACTCTCTCTCTCTCTCTCTCTCTCTCACACACACACACACACACACACACACACACACACACGGAAAAGACGGTGCAGCTTCTTTAGACCTTGGTCCCTGGTTGTCCTAACAGGTTTGTTGTGCTGTGTACCTAATCTCACCCTCCTGCCCGCCCTTGCTCCTTTCTACGCTGCCCCCTCCCCACTGAACTTTGTCTTCTTTGTTAGATGGACATTAAGTGGTTGAGGGAGATGTGAATGAGGGTGGTGTGAAGTCATGGGAGCCCCACCAGGTCCAAAGCCCACTGGCGTTTTCTGACGAGGAGGAGGAGGACCTGTTGGAGTTCATGTACAAGTATAAGTCACCGAGGAGGACGGAGTTGCCCCTGGAGGTACATGGTGTCTGGGGCGGGGGGCTGGAGCAGATGTTTGCACTAGAGATCTGGGGGTCCTGAGAACAGCATCACTTGGAGTACTCAACATTCTCTGAGTGCTTAGAGGGGAAGTGACTTCCCCATCAAACAGGTAGGATACGCCACCAGGTAGCCTCTAGCTATGTGCCAAGTGTGTGTGTGTGTGTGTGTGTGTGTGTGTGTGTGTGTGTGTGT